GATTTTCTGTTGTTGGTTAATAAACTAGACATAAAACAACTTTCGTTCTTACCCTCTGATATGAACAGGAATCTTGCAAGTATCCAGCTGGTTATATTACTATCTTTTCTATTCAACATAATACGTGGTACTAATGCTGACACCGAAAATCCGAACTCTAGTATTGTGGATAGCCAAGCATTGATACACCACAAAAGCAAATTTCGTGGACGTACCGTTAAGATTCAATGAAAACCGCTCGAATAATATACAAACATAGTTCATCCCGGAAATTCAATCAATGTGGACAGTCTCTTTGACATTGTCCAGAAAATTCATAGAAAATCTAAAAAAAGGAAGTTAACTGATTATTTGCATCTTTGTGATGTATTATACCTTTTCAATGAACGCCTGGATCAAATTTTGAAAAATATTCGGCAGAATAAACAGGAATATTTTGATATGACAGATGATGATTTCAACGCTTTTAGAAGCCAAGAATTCTACAGTATCATCGTCGAACAGCTGAAAACTGCCTATTTAAAGCATTTGAAGTGCGTAAAGAAATATTTATACGCTTTGAGCTATGGGGCATGTTGGCTAATTAATTTCACACAAGCAAAAAATAACGGCAATTCAGCAAAACAGGCGCTATAAAACATCTCAGACGTTCTCTGCATCAGTACTTCAGACGCACTCAGAAAATGCGCACGAAGTTGATTGAAGAATACGGGCGAATCATCGAACAATATTACGATTTTGAGAATGACAATATGGATTTTTCGGCATCCTTAACAAGCCTAGCGGGATACATGACCAAGGAGAATGACAAAAAAATGGTGGAAATAGTTGACAACATCGAGGCAATAATATTAAACAAATCATCGCACTCGTAACAAACTTGTGGCAAACACCTCTTATCAACTTTGAATTTTATTAAACCAAGTGTTTTCATTACGTGTTCATGGGGTTATCTTTGAAATAGCTGATAATTCAACCCCTTTATCATGCAAGGATCCGCGTCTTTGAATTGCAAAGCAGGACCAGCATAAGAATTGTTTGTCATTTTGGCAAACCTTACGTGTTTGTGGATAACCTTGATCCATGTCATGGTATTCTCTAAATTCTGCTAGTACATGCCAATGTTTATCCTCATCCATGGTGTTTTCTTATCCTTCGTAACACAGACAAACTATGTTTCCGTTAATAGACGTGTTGTACCACCTACACACGAGTGCTACTTCCGATTGGCCACTCAACGAATCATAATCGCTATTTATATGTTATGTAATCATTAAATACATTCTTCTCGTTGATTATTCTCGCATATACCGCTGCTCGGATGTTAAACTCTCCTTTTCATCACAAATGCTTTCCTGAACAGCTCCAACTTACAGTATTGTCTGTTCATTTACACAGTTCCTTGCATAAGATGTTTTTACACCCAGACTATCATATAAATGCCACTACCAATTGTGACAGTCTATCACAATGCAAAATGACGAACGGTGAGTATTGAGAGGAGAAATATATCAAGAACGCGTTGCTTATGTGAATATTATACCTTAATTATCGCTTTGATCACCTGAGAGGGCTCTATGATGTACAACATGGTAATGAATGAGTATGAAGAGAACGACTCCAGATGAATGTGGAAGCGCGTGTTACAGCAAAGTCATCAATCAAGATGAATGAATCAGAAATATGCATGGTTTTAGTAGAATCAAGACAATCAATATAAGAAAAACAAACAGCACTCGCTTAAATTCGATACGCGGCTCAATGCCCACATTCTGCGACATGCATTACAACCAGCGGAATACATCAACCATTCATATGCTTGGAGTTATCAAACATAATACACAAGCATTGTATAATTAACCGACTATGAGCGATCTACAATGCATACAGGCCTAATTTGCTCAGCACCGCAAAGAACATTTCTGCTTATTATCAATCGGAAACAACTCCTGGTGACTACAAGCTTACCTCTGCGGAGTCCATACGAAGACAATCGCTGGTACAAACAACTCCATGGTTCAACATTAAACTACGTTAGATTAATCCGAAAGAAGCACTGTCTCTCTAAATTCTGTTGAATTATATTGATATATCACCAGAAATTTACGTTTAATTTTCGTAGTAAAGCTACACCAAATTATTATGGCAGTAGGAAATGGGCTACCCACTCCGCAATTTGTAAAGCCTGGACAAAGTTTGGTGTTATTCAATGGCCATCCGTTTTGTGTGAACAAACACATCTCATATGACTTGATGACATCAATATACCTATCATTACTATGCCAAAGCGAGAACAAGACGCGTTGGCGTATTTCCTTCTAACGATGTCATATTCTTCTGGTCTAGGAAGAATGCGTGTTATTACGCACCACTGATTCTAACTGTGCATGATTCGTTAGGTATAGACTCTGCTCCACCACGACATCACGTAGAATCGTTTTTTCAAGCTGCTCTAACTTATTATACAAATTATTGTTTTCGATGTGCTGACACACAAACTTCATTTCCCTAATACTTTCATGAAGCCGCAAAATTACACGCACAAATCCTCCCTTGGAGATGGAATTCGCCACACACGTGTTTAATGCATATCCTTTGCACCACAGATACACAGGCTTTATAGCACTGTAATTCAGTTCAACCCCCTCGCTTATACCATACTCGATCAGCTCTTTGGAATATGCATGTTCGTATCTCTCCAGTGCATCTAAAAAGCCCAAATCGACATTTTTGTCTTCCAAACTCATACATTCACCAACTTCCTCACTGTACTTTAATTTTATATCGTTGCTTTTTTTCGCCACTTGAACATTTTCCCGCTCATTGCTCACCATGCACGAAAATATGGCAAGCACTTCTTCGCCCTTCATATCATTAAACTCGTTACTAAACAGCATCTCTGTAACAATTATGTCATTGAGCGTTCTTATCTCACTGGCTACCTGTCCCTTGATGAGCAGCCTGTTGCTTTCGATATACTTCTTATCCTCCAAAAACTTAATGCGTTGCTCGTATTCAGTGCCAAAGATGAGGTTTTTACTACTTGTTATGTCTCTGAGTCTGTCCCGTTCTCTTTCAGAGCAAAATGCATTCGCCTCTCTCTTTAAAATGTCTATCAGATCATTTTTCTCATACCTTGCTAAAAGTGATACTGATAAATTTTGTAGTTCCTCAACACCCTTTACTGCTTTGTGTTGCTTTATATACACCAAATTGTTTTTTGCTTCAAACCCTTTCAAATAATTAATTGCATTCTTGCCAGCTTATCCCTGCTGAATTGCCCATTAAGAACACATCCCTCACATTCAAGACTCGTTTGTTCGATTGTTGCGGATCTGAAAGAAAAGGGGCGCAAAAAACGTTGCATATGCCAACACTTTCGTTTTTAAGAATTATTTCGTCGTTTTTGATCTTTTCTATGTAACCAAAATTGCCGTTGAAATCGATAATCCATGTAGCAGCTGCAAGAAGATCCTTGGTATTGATAGAAAACATTGTTTCTACGTACTTTCTTGCTGTGCTGTCACTGGAGCACTGCATATCCTCTAATTTCTTTTCTAGCATGTCAAGCTTTTCAACGCGATCCTTCGCCAGTCGTTGCGTGTACAGCTCACCAAAACTCCTTTGCATGTACTCATGTGCTTGAAAATTGCTCTTGATGAGCATCAGAATCAGATTAAACGTCAATCGAAACGCAGATGCAAGAGGCGCCGGCTTTCCATAAATGATTTTTTTGAGCTCCTCGCAGTTCAACTTCTCATAATTAACGTACACTTTTCCTTCGGTATCTAAGCCACG